GATAGATAGATAGATAGATAGATAGATAGATAGATAGATAGATAGATGATAGATACAATAGATAGATAGGTAGGTAGGTAGGTAGGTAGATAGGGATGGATGATAGATAGATAGATAGATAGATAGATAGATAGATAGATAGATAGATAGATAGATAGATAGATAGATAGATACAATAGATAGATGATAGATACAATAGATAGGTAGGTAGGTAGGTAGGTAGGTAGATAGAATAGGTAGGTAGGTAGGTAGGTAGGGATGGATGATAGATAGATAGATAGATAGATAGATAGATAGATAGAGAGGCAGGCAGGCAGAGAGAGACAGACAGATTAGAGAAAACTGTGTACCAATGATTGAGTGATGCATTACACTGGCTAAAATCATTTGCAAAATTGCACAGCAATATAGATACATTTTAATGCAAACTCAAAAAAAAAATCTTTTGATTAACCTAATGAATGACACCAAATGAATGGGGAATGAGAAATAAAGAGAAAAACCAAACTCATCGATTTGCAAACACAAGAAGCCGACAGATTTGCTCACCGCAACCACTGATGGCTCCTTTAAGAATAACGTACGATTATTATTGTCGTTATTATAACTGCTCAACTGAAAACGGGGCTTCTTCTGGACGTTGTGCAGAATGCCTGCCTCAGTTGGTACCTTCAGTCTGATTCCTCCAGGGCTGAGAAAAATCCCTGGGGGGCGGCTGTTCTGGGGAGATGTACATAGAGAACCTGCAGGGATTTTCAAGACCCCCCCAGGGAACGACACGAGAAGGCTGTGTTTTTTTCTGGGAAGTGGTGTGATATCTCCCCGTGCCACTCTCCCGCGCTGATGCTTGCCTGTTGTTGAATAGGGAGGTGACTTGTCACGGGGGCCCCCCAAAACCAAGAAAGTCACACGGTGATCGTTCCAAGTAGATTTCATTACGGTTCTGCACCTATCGACAGAATCTTGCCAGAGTAAACTACCAGCTGTATAAAACATATACAGCAGAGGTGGCATTCAGTCGGTTCGGACCGGTTCTCAAGAACCGGTAGTAAAATTTTTTGAATCCCACCACTGTATCTTCTGCCTCCATTCTCATTACCTGGAGCTGATCCAGATACCAAGACCAACCCCTCAACCCGGCCTCCAAAACAACCCATGTTGTTTTTGCCACAGAACACGGTGGACAAACTCATCAAGAAAACCAATCTGGCCCTGGTGATCGGCACCCACTCTTGGCGGGAGCAGTTCCTGGAGGCCATCACTGTGAGTGCAGGTAAGTGACACTCACACACAAACAACCACTCCCCCACTGCAGCCAGGGATCAATAAACGGCACCTTAGGGAAATCTGCTCCAAGAAAATTAAACTGCCAGGAAGCTAGCAGACAAATGCTGGGATACAAATGCTGGTTCTTCTTCCTCTTCCTCTTCCTCTTCTCTTCCTCCTCTTCTTCCTCTTCCTCTCCTCCTCCTCCTCCTCCTCTTCTTCTTTTTCCTCCTCCTCTTCTTCTTCTTCCTCTTCCTCTCCTCCTCCTCCTCCTCTTCTTCTTCCTCCTCCTCCTCCTCCTTCTCCTCCTCCTTCTCCTCCTCCTCTTCCTCTTCCTCTCCTCCTCCTCCTCCTCCTC